CCCCAAAACCCCAAAACCCCAAAACCCCAAAACCCCAAAAGAGTGAAATTAATTGAAAACTTAATAAAATTTACAAAATACATTAGAAATGGAACATAATGAAGAAGAAAACAAGTATAGTGTCTCTACATGTAGCATGCATCTATATATTTAACTTGAAATGTGAAGCCAAAGTTAAACTCGAAGGATTAGCCCCTTTTATAACTCTTATTATAGATCTGAAATGCAAGCTTACAGATGTTTAAAATGCAACAAAAATTTTATTGTTCCCAAAGACCTTTGAGTCTGTCCTCATTGATTAGAAGGATTTATTGAAGAAATCAACCAAGATGAGGTCCAAGATATTCCACAGCCCAGAGATGAACCAATGGAGGAAGATGATCAATTTCCAGATATAAACAATTATCCTCCTATCCCTTCTTTTGGAGTTGGCCTCTTGAGAGGAATTTTGGGAGGAGGAGTCCCAAGTCACAGACCCAGACAAAGACCCAGTCACAGACTCAGAAGACATCGTGATTCTTCTAACTCAAGTTCGGAATCGAATGATCTCCCAATGCATGGGATCCGTATGCCTGAGATGCCTGAATTTCCAATGATGCCTCAAAGTGAGCCAGGTAGAGGCCAAAATTATTTCAGAGTGAGATCTATTGATGGACAGCCTGTTCAAATTGTTTTTGGTAGCGGAGGAAGCAGCCGTATGATGAACATGGGATCTGAAGGAATGGAGCCATCTAACTTCAGAAATTTTTTTGAGCGACTGCTTAATAATTTTGGGCTTCAAAATAGGTCTGATCAACAGCCTGCTTCTCAAGAGACAATTGAAAACTTAAAAGAGATAGAAATAAGTGAAGATCATTATGATACAGAAGGAGGTGAACCAAAGCCTCCGGCTTGAGCTATTTGTACAGATGAAATGGCAGAAAAAGCAATTGAACTACCTTGCAAGCATCTTTTCCACAAGGAGTGCATATCAAAATGGATTGAAATCCATCATATCTGCCCAGTCTGTAGGAAACCAGTAGAAGGATAGGCTCAATAAATATCTAGAAATTTCACTAATTTCTAATTGATAAGGGGTTTTGGGGTTTTGGGGTTTTGGGGTTTTGGGGTTTTGGGGTTTTGGGG